CAAAGTGAAGCTTCGTCTCGTTTACCAAGTCTGGATAAATGCACTTGCAAAGTTCACAGTCTATTTGCCTTTAGTAAATCCACCCCATTGTATCACATCTTCCTGATCTGACCTTCCTTATATTAACTATTTAAGACACTTTCACATAGAGCCTGATATGGAGTTTCTGCTAGTGTGTGGAGCTTGATGGAAATTTACAGCAGAGAGTGATCACCGGGGATTGCACATAGCAAAGTTTAACAGTAAATTTAGCAATTTTACAAGAAATATCAATTCTGTAATAGTACGTATTTTACATTTCTTTGGGGTGCTTTAAATGACAGATAAGAGCCACGGTTACGCAGAATCCTGTCCTAAAAAATCCCCATCTGTGTCCCCTGCAGGGAGATTAGAGCCCGATGTCGGGGTTATCTCAATATTACAGTCATCTCCCCCTTGGTTACGTCTACTGGAAATCATCAGTCAGTTTCAGGCAAGTGTCATAAGTAATTATGTCACCTCAACTGGCAGCTCATATTCTCTCTATTTCTTAAATGGATGAATGCATGTTGCCAGCATCTGTCCTAAATTAACAAAAACTGGGCACCTTGCTGGGGGATCTTCTGTCATTAGCTCTGTTTTAAAACTTGAAACAACACTGAAAATAACAAAATCTGGCTGCCATAGCATTGACAACAGACAGTGGATCCGTGTTTAGATGTAAACACAAGTATCTTTACCTATGTCTCTGCAGATGACACCATGAACTAGAAGAACGTCCTTACTAGATGCCTCCAACTTACAAGCCGACCTCAATGCTCTGTAATTGGGCAACTATGTGGCAAATGAGCTTTAAATTTGATAAATGTAAGGTTCTGCACTTGGGGGCTAAGAATATGCATGCATCATACATACTAGGATGGGGGGGGGGGGGACGACAACTGGGGGGGTTAATGGTGGAGAAGGATCTGGGAGTTCTGGTAGATCACAAGCTTAATAATGGCATGCAATGCCAAGCTGAGGGATCTAAAGCGAGCAAAATCCTCTCTTGTATTAAGAGGTATAGACTCCAGAGAGAGAGATATCATTTCCCCCGGTACAAATCATTAGTAATACCTCATCTGGAATATGCAGTTCAGTTTTGGGCACCAATTCACAAAAAGAACATTGGGGAACTGGAGAAAGCACAGAGAAGGGCAACCAAACTGATAAGAGGCATGGAGGAGATCAGCTATGAGGAAAGATTAGAGGAACTGAATTTATTCTCTTGAGAAGGAGATTAAGGGGGATATGATCTCCATGTATAATACATAAGGGGGGATATGATCTCCATGTATAATACATAAGGGGGGATATGATCTCCATGTATAATACATAAGGGGGGATATGATCTCCATGTATAATACATAAGGGGGGATATGATCTCCATGTATAATACACAAGGGGGATATGATCTCCATGTATAATACATAAGGGGGGATATGATCTCCATGTATAATACATAAGGGGGGATATGATCTCCATGTATAATACATAAGGGGGGATATGATCTCCATGTATAATACATAAGGGGGGATATGATCTCCATGTATAATACATAAGGGGGGATATGATCTCCATGTATAATACATAAGGGGGGATATGATCACCATGTATAATACATAAGGGGGGATATGATCTCCATGTATGATACATAAGGGGGGGATATGATCTCCATGTATGATACATAAGGGGGGGATATGATCACCATGTATGATACATAAGGGGGGGATATGATCACCATGTATGATACATAAGGGGGGGATATGATCACCATGTATAATACATAAGGGGGATATAATCTCCATGTATAATACATTAGGAGGGATATGATCTCCATGTATAATACATAAGGGGGGGATATGATCACCATGTATAATACATAAGGGGGGGGATATGATCTCCATGTATAATACATAAGGGGGGATATGATCTCCATGTAGAATACAAAAGGGGGGGGGATATGATCTCCATGTATAAATACATCAGTGGCTCATATAGTGAACTCGGTGTAGAGTTATTCACCCTGAGGTCATCACAGAGGACAAGGGGGCACTCTTTACGTCTGGAGGAAAAGAAATTTAATCTCCAAATACAGAAAGGTTTCTTCAGAGTAAGAGGTGTGAACATGTGGAATAGACTCCCTCAAGAGTTGGTTCTGGCCAGCTCAGTGGATTGCTTTAAAAAAGTGTTTCTTAGATACACAGTGTAGTGTGTGTCTACCCAATTTAAGCTCACTCTGGTCACATGATCCTCTGTCAGCCAGTCGTGGATTCAGGGGAGAGGAGAGAGCACTTAACAGCGTGCGTGCGTACATGTGTACGTAGGTACGCCTGTCTGTGTACGTACATGTGTCTGTGCGTATGTATTTCTGTGTATGTACATGTATCTGTGCGTATGCGTGTCTGTATGTACCTGTGTTTGTATACATGTGTCTGTATGTGTGTGTGTGTGTGCGCGCATGTGTCTCTGTGCGTGTGTGTACATGTTTCTGTATGTGTGTATGTACATGTCTGTTTGTGTGTAGAGGTGTCTCTGTGTGTGTGTTTGTTGGTGGCGAGTAACTCCTAAGGCCTGGCTAGTAGCTCAGGACTTGAAATTTTAACCCCTGGCCTAGCCTGTAACAATCTGTGAACGGGGGGGACAGTCTGATCAGTCTCAGGATTCTCTCCTCCTTTCACAGACTTTTCAATAGGAACTGAGCTCCTAGCAGCTGCCCCTGGAACCTGGAAGAATTTTACATAATAATGTTGGACACATTGGAGGGGCAGAGGGAGGAGGATCAAGGGTAAATTTGGGTAATGCCTTCACATTTGCTATAAAGCTGAATTTTAAGTATGGTAATCTTTATATAATTACATTGGCCCAACTTGGACCAATTTAAGTACTGTACGCATGAGCTATCCCTGTGGAATCCCCATGTAAGCTGGAAATCAATGTAGCAGGGACCCCTACTACAGTGATCTTCTCTAGCTTCTGGGTCACGTAGTGGGCAGCTGCCCTGTTGCATTGCACACACAGGAGGTTCCTTGCTATGCATGGGCACCACTCAAGGAGCACTTTGTAGTATAATTGCTTTGGCCCAGCTTGGACCAATTAAAGTATGTATGTATGAACCATACCTGTAGGACATCCGTGAAAGCTGGAAATCATTGTAGTAGGTACCACTACTACAATAACTGCTGGTAGCCTCTGGGTCCCTACTGAACACAGGTCAATGACTGGGCACAAGCGCCACTTTTCATTTTCTCAATGAATGCAAAGTATTCTCTGATTGGAGACGGTGGATAATATGACCTCACCGCTCAACCTCTCCACTTCGTCCAGTTTAGAGAACGCTTTGCATCTATTGAGAAGCTGCAAAGTGCTCCTTGAGTGGTGCCCATGCCAAGTGATGGGCCTTCTGTGTTCACAATGCTGAAAGGCAGATGCTCAATATGGGACCTGGAAGCTAGTGGAGATCACTGTAGTAGAAAAGCCTACTACAGAGACTTCCAACTTTCAAGGGATTCCACAGGTATGGTACATGCATACTTACACTGGTCCAAGCTGGACCAATGGAACAATGTAAGAAATTGCCATACCTGGAATTCAACTTTAAAAATCACTACGTTTTTAAGTCACTATCTTACTGTAGGTCTGGGAAAAGAGCAGAGCTGGGAGTGTCTAGGAGGAAATATTAGGTAACTAGATCGTGTTCTATCGTGTGAATTCAGCCTAACATCATTATGTACCATATGTAGTTTATTTTCTATCAATTCTGACTTACCAGGATGGTTGGCCTTTATATGGGATTTTATAAGGCGGTCATCTGAGAAGGACTTTTCACAGGCAGGGCAGGAGTAGGTCTTTTTGTCCTGCAGAGAGAGAGAGAGAAGAGAGAATGAGAGATGCAGACAATCAATAACATTACAGAATAATTGTGACTTATGAGCCAGAAGAGGCAATGTATTGACTAGCCAATAAAGTGATTGATGAAGCAGAGTGTTTTACTGCAGCGTCGAGTTTTCTGTTGACAAAAACTGGATCATTTTTATCCAGACGTGAAAAAATCCATTCAAAGCCAAACACAATGACAACGTGAAGTTCAAGACTATCAAACATAGTACAGCTGTATAAGACTGCATGGAATAGTATATGAAAAACCTTAAAACCTACAAGATATACAGCTGGACTCCAGGCAGACAGCTAAATACGGAGCTGAACTACCATGTGTAATATGTAAAATGTTGAGGCTGCCAAAAGATTTGTATCTTTGTGCCGTTCCAGTGTTACAATTTGGTCACTTAAGCAAGCCAAAGAAGAGTAGAAACGCAAAACGGAAATTTAGGTAAATAAACAGATAATTAAATTTTCACATAATTAGCATGACATGCGATTTTTGTGCCACCATCAAAACTGAACTAACATGTTGGAAAATTTTTTCTAAATGAATGATTTTCTAATTAACACGGTGACTCGTTTGAGGAAAAAAAAAAAAAAAAAAAAAGTGTATGAACTAAAGAAAATTAAAAAAAAAAAAAAAGTGTATTTTGAAAACGATAAGAAATATGTAATGTCGCTGCAAAAATTCAGAACCAATGATGAGACAACATTACCTGTTAAATTAAATGAAAAATTAGATTTTTGTTTTGAGCGATAGTTCATTTTTCTACTCATCTATGGCCTGCCCTACCTGCCCATAGCCAGCTGATTGGTCAGTAAAGAAACGTTATGATACTGAATCAACATCCCAATATTAGAACTCATGCACACTGGGCATTTATCCTTGGTGCATGAGGATCCAGCATTTAGCTGCAGGCATAGGGCACACATGCACTGTCCAGTCCCACTGCCAACAGTCTGTCAAACTCCATGAAAGATTGAAAGCTGCTGCACCTAGCGATACTTAGTCCTCATGCACACGGGATGTTTTTTACAGCGGCTGTTTTTGGCTTTTGCCGTTTTTTTTCTACAGCCAGTAAAACTCCCAGCATGTTCCATCCCCGGCATGTTATCCTATGTGTCCATCCCCGGCATGTTATCCTATGTGTCCATCCCCGGCATGTTATCCTATGTGTCCATCCCCGGCATGTTATCCTATGTGTCCATCCCCAGCATGTGTCATCCCCGGCATGTTATCCTTTGTGTCCATCCCCGGCATGTCATTGTGTCCTCCCCGCATGTGTCCATGTCCCCCGGCATGTTATCCTATGTGTCCATTCCCGGCATGTTATGTGTCCTCCCCGGCATGTTATCCTATGTGTCCATCCCCGGCATGTTATCCTATGTGTCCATTGTTATCCTATGGTCCATCCCCGCATGTTATCCTATGTGTCCATCCCCAGCATGTCATCCTATGTGTCCATCCCCGGCATGTCATCCTATGTGTCCATTCCCGGCATGTTATCCTATGTGTCCATTCCCGGCATGTTATCCTATGTGTCCATCCCCGGCATGTTATCCTATGTGTCCATCCCCGGCATGTTATCCTATGTGTCCATCCCCGGCATGTTATCCTATGTGTCCATCCCCGGCATGTTATCCTATGTGTCCATCCCCGGCATGTTATCCTATGTCTCCATTCCCAGCATGTTATCCTAAAAAACCCTAAAAACCACAAATGCAGGAAAACGCCGCTAATTGTGGCAAAACGCCACTAAATGCTAATGCAAGAACGCTAAAAAAAAAAAAGCTGAAAAACCTCGCATTTTTTACGTGACTTTACACAGCTAACGTTACCAGCATTATCAAAACGTCCCGTGTGTATGAGGACTTACTTTTAGGGCAGTATGAGCCAGGGATGCACCGAAATTCTGAGTGGCTGATATATCAGCTGAAAATAGCCCTTTTGGGAAAAAGTAAGCCGATACGGCTTCGGATAACTGCGGCCCGAGAGACCTGGGCCCCAATCAGGGGTGGACTGACTATTTGGTCGGGGGGTTTTGGGGGGCTGTGAGTACTGCAGATGGGGGGTTGGTGGAAAAAAGGGCAGGAGAGGAGGTAAGCAATGTATAGAGTGAGGGGGCAGTGTACACAGACAGGCTCCCTCATTTGCCAACTCGAAATGTCATTGCCGGTTTTTAAATGCAATTGTCGGTTTTTGTTTTTTTTTCCTCTTCACTTTATAGATCTGAGAAGGAGCTCTCATTCGCCCTGCTGCTAAAGTAAACAAAGGGGCAGGGTCACCCAGTGACATTACCCAGTGATCCCACCCCTTTGTTTACTTTTGATGCCACATGTGTTTGGACATCATTCATTTTTAATGGCACCTCAAACGTGGTGCAGGTCTGTCGTGATGGTTGCGTGGCAAGCCACATCCCGAAAAGCTGGTGATCCAAAAAAAGAGTAGTAGATTCATGGGATGCAGTTTGCATGATCCTTGCATAACAATAGCAGCAAACCCACAATGTCTTTTCCAAAATCAATAAAACAGAAATGATTACCCAATGAATGGCACCCAAGCATGCTCGGTGCGTTTTGCCATGACTACATAGCGATTTAGGCTCCACCAGCAACTCAAATTGATGTGAACTGGGTTTAAGATCTGACACCACCTGATCTCATCCCTGCCTACCTTTTCACAATGTTGCTGGTCATTCTTTCACATCTTGGTGCCGGAATAAATGAACGCCCAAGAGCATGAAAGGGAGATACATTGTTCTACGCCAGCCAACCAAGACTGCCCAAGACCCCACACTTGGAAGAAGATGTTGGCGTGGAGGGTATGGTTGCACACATTGTATCACTGGAGTGGAGCTATAAGGGAATTCCCGTGAGACGGCTGGTGAATAGACGTGCGCGTGTGCACAGAAATGCATGATCACGCACGGCGAAGATGGGCACCAGACGGAATATTTAAGAGGTGCCTCTACCTGTGCTGAGTGCTGACTGGTCTTCAGCTGTTTCCTGCTCGTTCCTGTGTGATTTCCTTGTTGCTGACCCAGCTTGTTCCTGACCTGACTCCGATTGCTCTCCTGCTTGATACTGGTTCCTGTCTTCGGCTCTGCTCCTGACTTTGGCTTGTTTATGATTTAGTACCTCGCTCTCCGATAAAAAAATCCCCCCCCCCCCCCCCAATTTTTTTTTTTGTACCCATTGATGACCCCAGCTATCCCTTTGACATTGCTCCTGTCTCCCATCCCAGCTTCCTGCCTTGCTCTGGTGCACACCTGGCGACCCACCATACCAGCGCTGCATAACACTACTGTTCCTGAATCAGAGGTTCATCAGTCTTCCAAAGTCTCCAACTGCAAGAGCTGCAAACAACATCTGCTGGCGCTCTTGTCCCCCTGGTCCCTAGACACCCTCTGTTCCACTTCCAGTGGGGTCAGGGCTAGTGACACAAGTGAGACCGACCTCGTCATTTCAGTCTCAAATCAGGTAAGTGACAGGAGCTATTTGTGGAGTAATTGTCAGTCAAACAATCACAGCATGGAAAAAAGGGGTGTAACATGCCAGTACCGAGGTGGTTAAACAACATTCATGTATGATACTTTCATTGTGGTTTTACCACTTTGGCTTCTGATGGTCAAACACCTGCGAAGGGCTGGAATCAGACATGTGGGAAAGTCGCTCTTATTTCCAGCTTTGCCGATTAATGCCGAAATGAAAAGCCGGCTGCAGACAGTAATGGAAACCTTTCTTTCCTCCTCTTTCGTTCACATCCATGGAGCCTGGAACACTCTGATTGATGCGCTTTGAAGTCGATTCCACATTCCCAGAGCAGAGATTCCTTCCAGGTGAGCCTGTTAGCATCAAAGTCCTTCAAACCGAGACTGTCAGAACCTCTCTCCCCAGCTGTCCTGTGTCTAATATTTAAAAAAATGGAAACCTCTCAAACAAATTATACTTGTTGGCGGGCGGTACAATGTAAAAAGGTATACAGCAGCCAAAGAAGATGACGCCATCCCTACACGATTTATTTCAGGTAATTCTATAGTGCCGTCAATATACGCAGCACTTTCCATATATCTTGTACATTCACATCAGTCCCTAACCCTCAAGGGGCGTACAATCTAAGGTCCCTAAGTTGTATCTGTTTATCTGCAGTCTTATCTTCTCTACATCTGTTCAAAGTACAGAAACTATACAGCTTGTATGAGCTTTCAGAAAGCAAGGGGTGAGGAGCTGAAGTTACCCTCTGCAGAGGTCAATGAGAGCGGATTACAGGAAAGGGACACACCCTTTTCATACAGCACAGAGGACCAGAGCTGAAGATGTCAATCACAGGCTGTGTTCTAGAGATCCCCATTATTTTACCTCTTGGTGTCAGAAAAACTTGTCAGAAGTGATAGCAGACGATAGAGGCAGCAGAGAAAAATCACACTCCGTGCTCTGGATTGAGACATGTACACACTATAGAGGGATATGCTTTGTTCATATTCCATATTAGAGGTTTATAACCACTTTAAAGGGAAAGTAAAATCAAATTTTGGGGCAATATTTCAATTATTTGTGTGATGTTTATACCAATTTAAAAAAAAAAAAAGTACATTCTCTATTTTTTTAAACCTGACCCCAAACAGATATAAAATACACAAAGCAAAATGTCTTTATATTGATTAACCCCTTTAAACCAACAGAAGCAAATGCTTTAAATAGGCTGTAAACACACAGGGCATGTAGGAGGGGGGCTCCTGATCGTGCAGCACTGTGATTGGCTGCACAGTGCTGGTGTCACCCATACTAATCGGCTCCCAATCCTTGGGTATTTGACGGTGAGCTGTCCGAGAGTTCAGTCATCACTCCAGGGGCACCAATGGAGCGACTCATATAGGCGTTCGGGAACTGGACTTGGTATCAGCCTCTTGCAGTCCCTGTGCAGCAGAGCACAGACAGGGGGAAGGAAAAGCAGCACAAAGGTCAGTTGGTGTGCTGACAAGAAGCATGATGATATGAGATGAAACTACCATGACAGAGAGAGGAGCTCATTGTTGTGCTGCTTCTTCTTGATTTAGGCTGGGGGATGGGGGAGGACAAGACAGCCTGGGCTCAGTAGAAGTAGGTTGAATGGCACTGGCCGTTATTCAACCTGGAAGACTAAGGACCTCTAGTGCCAGAAAAGACGCACTACGGTGACAGCTCTACACTGAAGGCATGTACTGCAACAAAAGCTTTTTTTTTATATTTTTTATTTTTAATCAGGCTTTTATTTTTTATTTTTTTTTGTTTTTCTCCCTGGAGTTGTGTTTTAAAAAGGATTTATACAAGGTGCATCCATAGTTTGCCAAAAAAAAAAGCTGGGTTTCTGAATTAGAAAGCCCAATAAACAATAAAATTAAATCTGTGCTACTCTTCTCAAACTGAAAAATGTATATCCCTAGGGATAAATCTATAATAATATATAATATTATACAAATAATAGTTACAAGGCTCCACTCTTACAATTGTGACATAACCTATTTATTAAAAAAAATGTGCAAATGAACAGGCTACTAAACTATATAAACAATGGTATCCCCATATAAGAAATAATTGGGAGTTTTTCTACATACCTACCTGTAAAATCCATTTCTTGCAGTACATCAAGGGGCACAGAGCAGACTATAACCATGACTGTGTGGGTTATGTGCCACCCAGGGACGGACTGAAAACTCATGGGGCCCCCAGGCAATAGGGGATCATGGGGCCCCTGTGTCCTTGGCCAAATTCAAAAAAGCCTATGAAAAAGGTACCAGGGGGATCTCATGGGGCCCCCTACTGACCTCAGGCCCTCGGGCAGTGCCCGAGTTTCCACATGGTCAGTCCGCCCCTGGTGCTACCTATAAGTGAATGGACGCCGGCAGATCATTCAAACAGGAAGTCCTCCCCTATATAACCCCTCCTATAAAAGGAACCTGAATTTTGTAGCAAGCAATGAATTCCCAAAAAGATGGGAGGGGGACCTCTGTGTCCGGTGATGTACTCCAAGAAACGGATTTTACAGGTAAGTATGTAGAAAAAAAAATACAATTTTCTGTATCGTACATCACGGGACACAGAGCAGGCTATAATCGTGACTATGTGGGATGTCCCAAAGCAAAATAAATTGAGGGGTGGAGACAACCACTGCAATCCCAAAAGCACCTATTCTTCCGTTCGTAATCCTCTGCGGCTCTGACATCCACTTAGTAAAACCCTGTGAATGTGTGAACCAAAGACCAAGTAGCAACCTTGCAAACCTGAGCCACTGAGACCCAATGGTGGATAGACCAAGATGCTCCCACACTCCTGGTAGAGTGCGCTCTCACCCAAAAGGGTCAGAACCCACCCTTCAAACCATAGGCTTGAATGATTGTCGGATGCAATGCAAAAAATAGTTGACCTGGATGCCGCCTACCCTTCCTGGGCCCTTTTAGCAACACTAACCAGGATTCTGGACCTATTGCCAACAAACTCAAGTACATCCTGACCACCCAAACTACATCCAGAGTACTTCCCCTGTTGACTGCAGACTAGGAAAAAAGAAAAACAAGACACTGTCCTGATTCAAGTGAAAACTAGAAACTACTTTAGGCAAGAAAGATGGATGGGAACGCAACATCACCCTATGCTAGACCAAGAACGGCTCCTTACATG